CCAAGCCTTGCGCAGAAATTTCATTACATTTTATGTTCAAATCCACACATTTCAAGCCGAATTATTGAGATTTTGTGTAAGTGTTTTGAATATGGCGAGGCAAACTGTACTTCTGAAGCTGTTCAGGTAAATCAGTAAGGGCATTTGTCAGCTCTATCGTTGGCACATGGCCAATGGGTGCCACCCATTTCCGCTGTTACGCGTGTCCTTACCGAACAGTGCTGAAAGAAAGAAAGTAAGTATTGCAATATTTGCATAATTATACCCTCCATTGATCATATTTCATCAAACGCTGCCACTTCCTAAAGTAAGAAACCAAGAGTAATTCGATTTTTCTCATTTTATTGGGGTGCGCATGCGCAATGCGTCTGAGTTATTTGCATACCTGTCTGCCGGTCTTTTTACTGCTTGACTCTCCTTTTGTCAGTGTTCTGTGTGTCAGCCTGTCAGTCGTAAAACTATTTCAAAACCACTTTATAGGGGTGTTGATTTCAATTCAGTTTTGTTTCTCTTGCATTACGTATTAACGCATTTAACGTGTTGGCTGAACCTCCCTACCCCCTAGCAACCGGCTTTCTCTCTTTTATGTAATTACAAGCAAAATAAAAATATTTTTTGTTATTTTTAAAACTTATTTTGTTGCAATTTCCCTTTATATTGTTATTGTTGTTGTTATTAAGCGCGACACACGTAAGCAATTTTCTTTAACTAAATACTGTTTGTCATCCACTCACCCCTTTTGCCGCACCTCAAAACACATACGAGTCATACGAGTAATGTCCTGTTTGCTTGTATCCTCTATCCTTTTATTATTATGCATTCACATTCGCATTCGGTTTGAGGTTGGGGTGATTTTGTGTTTTTTTTTTATTTGATATTGTTGTTTGTGTCCATGCAAGGCGTAATACCACTTTCGACTGCACTCCGGAAGTGCATTAGCAGGCAAATTATGTACGCTTTACGCCTTTGACCAGGCGTCGGCCCATGAAGCTTGTTGCCCGGCTGACAAGCCGAATGACTGACTGTCTATCATTCACTCGCTCATTTACCCACCTTTGTTGGAGTTGTCGACTCTCTGCATGTGTGTGTATGTGTGTGTTTGCCCACGTGGCCCTTGTCCTTATCCTTCGAGGTAAGCTATGAGGCGTGACCGGTTACTTCCGTTAGCTCATTTTATATGGTTGTTTATTTATTTAATTTTTTTTTGCTCCTTAGCTCAGCGGAAATGATAAAATATTTTAATTTTAATTTAGAGACAAAGTACAATATGGTAGAACGTCTTGTCGTCTTGTTATTTACACGCTTACTACGCGTGCGTGCTCTCGTTGGCTCTGCATTTTTGTTTATTGGCGAGTATGAATAATATGATAAACAAGTATTTTTGTTGCTATAGTTTCATGGCATTGAAGTAAAATTTGGAATATTTGAATATAAATAAGCATAAACATGTATTTTCTTTCAAGTACATAATAAATATATTTGAGTATTTTTTAATTTAGCTCATATTTATTCTTCAAAATCACTGAAAGGGTTTCTGAAATCGGTTTAATAAAAATCCTCTTACTTGTGTTTACATTAGCATCTTTTATCCTGGCAAGTTTTTTAGTTGCCTTTTCGACTGCATGTCTTTATCGGGTACTAATTAGTTGGATATGCTTTCGTTTAGCTTGGAAAATATCATGTTATCCCTATCAGATTAGATTCAGTACTTAATCCTAATAGCTTATATCATCGTTATTCCCTGTTGGAACTCCATTCCACAGCCCGTTCATCAGTTTTATAATAAACAATTTGTTTAAACAGTTTACTAAATGTTTGCTATCAAAGTCACCAGTTATCACAAAGCCCAGCTCAATTGCTAAAATATTGCTCTCAATCTCTTAATAAAGTATGTCGGGATCTTATGCACAAAAGATTTCTCGAAAAATCAACCAAGCTCTGTTCCCATTTTCTATTAAAAACATGCCTTACATTTACATTTTTAACACAATAGATTGTTCGATAACACTTTTATAGATTTTTAACAGCTTTGCATGATCATAATATGGCTTTCCCACGGCATCGTGAACTACGTTGTTCGTCCTGTCAATTACGAACGCGAATTACCCCATTCACACGGCACGCAATTTGACAGTTTTCTGTTTCGCTGGTTTACTTTACTTGTTTTTTTTGAATACGCAGGGAAAATAAAAGTCTTTAGGCAAAATTCATAAAATATTGCATTGAATTGATGATGATCTCCGCTTAAGCAATATATATTAGTTCCTTTAATAGTTTCTAATTTTATTGTTTTTAATATACAAATAGTGTTTTGGTTTCATATAAATGATAGCCTTTTAGTGTTTCATTTCGTGGCTTTTAGTTTTTTTGTTTTGATTTGTCAACTGTCTTCGATAAATTTCCGATCAATATTAGAAAAGCAAGGATTTGGTCGTAATTCGCATGGTAATTGAGAATGAATTACCCCCTTTTAGTGGAATTCGCTCTCAAAAATTTGTATTGCAAATTAAATAATTCGGCATGTATTTTGAGAGCGAATTACGATTGAGAGAGCGAAGCACGTAATTGGGTTGTTGTGGAATCGTCATAATAGTCATCTGTTAGAAAGTTGAAACCCAAATAAATAATAAATAATTTTAAAGGTAATCTCACCGAGTTAAATAACGGCTTGAGGCAACCATGGTACAGGCAACAATCAATTTGTTCTTAAAGGGTTATCAAAGAAAGGTGGGGTCTGACCTCATCATGAAGGATCATTTTGAATTTATATTTCACCAGTTCCGGGTGTGATTCTTTTGTTGATTTCTCAGTTTCTGTAATTTAAAAGAGAGGACATTCGAATAAATAGTATTATTTCTTAGATGCAAGTCCACTAAACAGATATACAAGGTATAATTTTCTTTGCCAATATTGCGTTTGTATGGGGATTTTCTGGGCTTACGTTTTGATTACGCTAGCAAAGAGCTGCATACTTCAATGCACTTGGCGGTGTAGAATACTAGATCTAGAAGTAAAACACTAATGCTTTCATAGATATTCTATTCTCAACATAATTCTTAAACCTTTTTTAATTTCTTGGTTGCGCCCAGTTTTTGAATAAAAACATAGTAAAGTTTAATATTTCACTTAAAGTGTTCAAAACAATCAGAGAAGGAATTTGAAAAAAAAAAATCGAATTAAGAATATAACCACCTTTCAACAACAAAAATATGTCCAAAACGGACTCATGACTATTATATGAGAAAAGCATGTAACTACAGGAAGATAGATATTCTACACACATTTAATGAAGTAAGAATTAGTACTAACAACCATTGAAATCGGAAGCTTTCATACAACCGATTCGTTCTAATATTAAGTTGTGCGATTTAATATCATACACATGTGAGTTCTAATGAATATTGACACTGAAAATCATCCAAATTGGATTTAGTATTTTCCAATCGCATTGATATGTTCGTGGACAGGTCTGAAACCTGCGGCATTACAGGAGACAAGACTGCTTTTTATATCTTCCTTTGACTGTTTAACGTTTATTTAGTACTCAAAATTCCTTTTCGCTTGATTTTCTGAAAATATCAGTGCAATATCTGATCGGTTTTATGGGCAAAATAATAATTATATTGCTTAGTACGATTTTGGGACATTATGTGATAAATTTTCAAATACATATAATATATGTTTGTTAATAAATAATAAAATTACTAAAGTATTTCAACAAGTGTTTCCTCCCTTGAAAGCTGTTTCTTGACATTAACGCAACATGTTTCATCATTTTAAAAGGTTAATTATGAGCACATCTCGTCTTTGAAAGATCAGATATTAGGATGTACGATTGCGGCCTATCATAAAGCCAGAAATTGTATTTTTCTTTGCAAACTCATTATGACTCAATCTCCTAGTTATCTTTTTTCCAAGTTATCGTTTACTCGGTCAGCCAGAGTAGGTAATATAATAATACCTTTTCATAAATCACAGCAATCATCAAGGCTGTTCTTTGTCAATGCTAGTCGATTATGGAACTCTCTTCCCGCTAATTTAAGGAGGAAATTAAACAGAAGCAATTTCAAGAACCACATATATATGCATTTTAAAGGCCAAATTTCAAACATAGACTGACCATTTAAAAATTATTTAAGCTTTTGTCATACTCAACTCATTATATATTATTATTGTTTTTGTTAATGTATCTGTAAAGTAATATTTACTTAATCTTCACACTATCTCTGTTGTACTAAAAAAGATATGGAAATCTTATTGTACTAATGCTTTGTTGTTATTATTAAATAAAATAAATAAAATAAATAAAGATGTATGAATTTAAAATGGAAAAAAATGATTCCAAAAAAAAAAACAAATAAATTAAAAAAAAATTAAATAAAAATAAAAATAAATTGAAATCTGAAAGCAATCTTTGAATACTTTCAAATTTATTGTGTAAATCATTTATGTGGTCTGATTCTTTTTTTTACTTGTTGGTATACAGGTTCTGATGGGCAAATTTGTTTTTTTTTTCTGAAAAAGTGAATTCTCTTTTTTTTCGTTCTAACTGCTCATATTTTTAGTTAATTTTTGCTGTTATTATCTGCTATGTGGGTTAAGTTTAAATCATTGATAATTCTCACATTCTTTGCATCCCAATTTTTAGCACTGATTTGGCGCGCCTTCGTTAAACTCTCCCTGAGCAGCGGCTAAAGCCGTATCTAAGTACAAAATGCTCATTCCAGCTAAAAATCCATATTCCAAATAATAATAAGAAGAGAAAAAATTTTTGCTTTTCATTATAATTTCATTTATTTGGTTTGTTTATTTCGTAGTGTTTTTTATAGTGGTTTGCATAGTCTTAGTTTAGTGTCTTCCATAACTTAAAATTAGCGCTTAACTTATGAGTAGTGTTTTAAATCATTTGTCTTCCATAATTTAAAAGTTAATAAAATATAAACTTACACTTAAACTTAAACTAAATATATGTAATAAAAATGTTTCTCTTTTCAATTTGCAAGGCACTATTTACAAAATTTTACAAAAAGTTGAACAAAAATTCGACTTTTTTCACACAATGCTCACTAGTAGTTAATTAATTGGCATGTAAATAATTTACAATACTGAGTGTTGAGTTGCCACTGGGTCGCTGTGGTCCGTCATTTTCTACTTTTCTCTTTAACTGTTTATTATGCGCAGGTTATTTGAGTCACTGATTGATTGTTTGCCATACCCACATAGCTTACTGTTCTTGCCACGAGGAGATATAGTCCAGGAGCTCTTCGTCATCTGGTTGCTCATCCTCTGCTGTTAAATGATCGAAATCATTGAAAGATTCGAACTTGAAGTTAAGCGCTTCATGCATCCCTTGCGTTTGTTGTCGTTGCACTTCCACTTTCACTGGTTGCAAATAGTTGGCGCCACCAATGGAAATATCAGAATCGCCGCTATAACTAGGCGCTGGCGAAACGGAAGCCTCTGAGTGATAGGACTGTTGGAGCTGATTGTATGCCAAATCGCTGGGACTGCCCATCGACGAGTAACCATAGTTGCTGCCATCATTGCTGGACTCATCACACATGGTGTTCACATGCTTCTTAGCGCTCGCTGGCTGTGTCTCTTCGAGCATATCTTGCAGACCGCGTATATACTCGACGGCTATGCGTAGTGTGTCCACTTTGGAGAGTTTCTTGCTTGCGCCGCGGCCACCGTGGGATAGTGTGTTGATCACGGTCTGCGGCAGATGCTGACGCAGGTTGGCGAAACCGTTATTCACCTGCTTGACGCGATTGCGTTCGCGCGCATTACGACGTGCCACCGACGGCAGCTGCTCGCCGTAAGGCATATTAATGTAGGTGTACTTCTTACGCGGCAGCAAGCCATCAGCGCCCGGACCCATTTGGATATTGTGCAGATTGCTATTGCCTAATACTTTGGTTGCGGGCGCGATGCTTTGGTGTTTTTTTGACTGATAACCGCCGGACTGTTGTTGCTGCAGTGTTTGCTGTTGTAGCAACATTATGTTGCCGTTGAGCGTTTGGAAGTGATGTTGTTGTTGGTAATTTGTTTGTTGCCTACACACACTTGTCATTGTTTATTGTAAATTTTTCTTGTTATAAATAAATGAAGCTTCTTTATTTTTAGAAAATTTAACAAAACACAAATTGTTGTTGCTGCTGCCTTAAGACGTCGTAAAATTCCCGTATTTATTGCTTTTGCACTGATTTACTTTTGGCTATGTTGTTTTCTTCTACCTTTTCTTCTCTCTTTGCTTAAGACGAGCTTGTTTTCGTTTGAAGTCGAATGCCTTAATGATTCCCTTCGTCCTCTGGCAGCGCCTTAAGTACAATTTTCGTCAGCCGTTCAACAGAGTCAGAGCCAGAGCACTCTGCACTCTAAATGCGCAGTGGTGTGTGTATCTCCATATACCTGCATACTCCCCTGTTGCTGTTGGCAGAGGGTTAAACAGTGGCGCAAGTGATCGTGCCGTAGCAGTCCATGTTCTCGATCAGTGTTTAAAGAATAGCTTGTTGGCAGCGCGACTGGGAATAGGGTTGGTGTGGAGTTGAGCAGAGTGCAGAGTGCAGAGTGGAGCGAATTGAAATTATTATGGTGTAAGAATATTTTTAGTGTAAGCAGAAAAGGGTGGCTTAAATATGCGGGAGAGCAACATCTGAGATAGAGCGAGGGAGAGTATGATAACGAGAACGAGAGACTAAAGCTGTTATTTTTTTTTTTTTAGAAGCAAAGAAAAAGTTGTGTGTATTCAAAATTATACAGTGTAATGAGTTTTGTACGCATGTATACAGGTTACAGAGATTTAACATAAACGTTTGAGTAGTGGTAATAGCTATGAAGTGCAGGGAGTACATGCTGTGTGAGTTTGTGTATTTTTTTTGTGCGGATATTTGAGTATCCATTCCTTTGCTAGAAAGTGGCGTGTGCCAGTTGATAAGCAGTACGCTTATACCTTACAGTCAATCAAACATTTATTCATACATAAATATCTGCACATTTAAATAATTTAGCAAATATCAGAATGGAAAGAAACTCTTTTAATGTGGGGAAGAATGGCAACTCGTCACACAAATTATTCCAATAATAATCATAAACTACAAAATTAAGGAATTTTTATTTATTTGTAAATACATACATATGTAGGAATATTTTAAAATGAATGAATTGTAGTTTAAAGATTATTATTTATGTATTAAATGAATGTATACACATATGCATATATTTTATTCATATATTTCTTTTAAATTTGGGCACTTATATTTGAAATTAATATTATTCAAAATATCAAACCATGCTAAAATGAAATTCTATTTTTTTTAAAACATTTGAAAATATGATGTTTAATTTTATTTATCGATAAAACCGCAATTTTAAACAGTTTTCAATATATTGACAGCGCATGGTTTGTAATATAATTTCTCCTCCCATGCGGTTATGACTTACAGACAGTGATTTATTCGACTCGTATGAATATTTTCAACATTCCTATTAATCTTAGTTCCGCAGAAAAAGTCGCAACTAAAGTTACCTGCAACAGATCGGTATTTAAGATGTGATGCCGTAAACCTTATAGACCTAAAAGGAAAACGGATTTATGTTCAATTTGACTTGCTCATTAACATAATCTCGATCTACGGCCGCTTTTATGTTTTCATGTTTCATTTGACTGAAATTTCGTAACTCAACTCAGGCAACTTCACTTTCTTATAATTCAAAATGATTTTTTGATGATTTTTGATCAATTGAACTTCCACTGCCTTCTGCATCATTGGTGCCAATAAGATTATTTTGGAAGCCATCCATTTACCGTTTCATTATTCCTTATGAGAGAGCGAAGCCTGTATAACACTTTTGAGCTCAATACTTTGCTGGAACGATATTGTTTTGTTACTTTGCATAATTTTGAACTTAATTTTGAATTGGAAATTTTTTAAATAACCTATTTGGATGGAACCAAGTTCTGCCACTTGGCAGGTTTAAAATAATTTTTTTTTACGAACCCGTACTTGAATCTTTAGATACTTTCCATTCGTTAGATCACTTTCTCTTAAAATATATTTCAACGATTAAACGATGTTTGCTGCTTAATAATTTATATTGGTATGATTTGAAAATTTTGCTTCAACCTTTTCGTGTGTTTGTGTGTGTGTTTTAAGCATTTTCGAACATGTTATACTAAACTTCTTACTTTTTTCTCGTAACTTCCTCTTATATTCTTAATTTATTTATGAAAATTGTAAAACTCATCGAAATGCTAAAGAAATTTTTACAAATAAAGTTTGAAAAAGGAATGACTCAAACAACTTTTAAGCAGTTGGGCAACGAAGGAGTAGCGACAGAGTGTCGAGTTCCTCGCACTGCTCGACCCGGGTAGTTAGAGCTTTAGTATGAACATTATTATGATTGCCACAAGTTCTAAAAACAGTGATAATAATTTGAGAAAATTACAGTGATCTTACTAGTACAATTTTTTTCTCAAGAATATGTCATTAAATACTTTACAGAGCCATTATACCTATATATTAGTATTTTGATTTTGGGTGCTTTTCTGTATTATTTCTGTAAGGGAAATCTCTTGGATGGGCCAAAAATTCCATTTATGTAATTAATTTAGGCAAAATGTGGTGTAATGAATCGGTTTTTTAAGTGTAGTATCAAGTTAATTAACATAATTTTTATTTTATATTTAATTTTACTTATATGTTATCTTTTAATTATTTACAGTAATTACTAATTCATGTAATTGAAAAATAAGCAACTATGTATAAATATTCTTTAATCTTAATCTTTTTATTCTTGTATAACGACATTTTAATCTGAGTAAAACTTTATAGTTCACCTATGTTATATACAAAACCGAAATAATAAATTCCATTATTCGACTTTAATATATTTATTTAATTATCTATATATAGGTATTTGTGTAGATACATGCTGAAAAAAGAAAAAACTATTTCTGCATTGCTCTGTGTAAATATTTACACAACTGAAGTCAGAGCTCACATTGCTAACATTCCAGAACATTTCAGAATAGATTTCTGTTAATTAGCATAACAACACCCCCACAAAGCGGAATATAATGTTAGATATTACAGCATGTACTGCCAACCACCATAAGCAACTGTTAAGCGTTAACAGTGTGCTGTTATTGTGCTCACTCTTCTATGTAAGCAATATGCGACGTCTCACAGATAACCTTCGCCTTTGCCTTCAACTTGGCGCGCTTATTGATCTACAAACATATGCGTCCATATGAGAGTCGAAGAAACCTGCGCGTTGAGAATTTCCCCTACTTTTTTAATTCGAGTCAGTGCAGCAGCGCTACAATATCCTGGTAACGCCCAAGTACCTGACTACACATATAAAATACATACAATTCAACGTAGGATATTTACGGACGAGTGTCTTTGCCTGTGTTCTTTAACGTTTCATTTATTTTCTTCTATATTATTATATTTCTTCTTACACATATTGATGTTGTTGCTGTTGCAAGTAAGAAAATGTGCCAGAGGATTGTTTTTGCTATTAGTTTTCGTACTTTTACATTTCTTCCTTGAATATTTACATCCATATATCCTTAGAAACATTTTACTATGTACAAATATTCCTTTGGAAATAAGAATTATTAGTCCTTGTTGTTGTTATTGCTATTACTGCTTAGGTTTCGAACGTAGAAGTATAATACATAGCTAGCTATAGAATTTCCTCGCTCCACTAGCACAAAGGATATCTGATCTTTGTAATGAGGGAACACATATTTGTTCTTGCACTCATACATACCCACATACACAGCCTAAGTTAGCAAGCATATTAATGTTGTATTCGCCTGTCAGTTTTATGTTTTGTTGCTTTTGCTGACAAAAACCTTTTTCCTTCAGAGATTTTCTTTTCATTTCATCAATACAAAACCCAAACACTTGCAGGGGAGTTGCTTGTGAAGTTTTATGTCGCAAAGAAGTAAAAACTGAAAGTGTCTTTGGGCATTTAGCAACGGACTGTTGTAGTATATGTACATACATATCTACATATATACATATTTATACATAGAATAAAAAATAATTATTTTCTATGCTGTTAGCTCGTCCTGTGAATGCTGCTGCTGCGCGGGTGTTGGCAGTCGTTGTTGCGCAGTTCAACGAGCAAGTGGTGGTGGCTGCAAAGATGAATTGTAGTCCTTCTTACAGGGCTTGAGAAAAACTGACAGAATCTTAGAATTTTTACGAAGTTTTCAAAAAATTACCAGTACTGGGGTATATTAGAAAGTTCAAAGGTGGATAAGAGATATTTTGAAAAATTATATCTCAGGAAGTGTTTTATAGCAAAGCAGGATTTAAGGAATAATATGAGCGAAATTAAAACCTAATTATTCATCAAAATTCAATTTTTTGTCTAGTGATCAAGTTTTCTAATTCAAAACAAATGTGTTTGTTAATTGCGTATAATGAAAAAAAAAATCTTTTAATGATTTTAAAATAGACATAATTATTTGGTCTAAATAGAACTGTGTTAGAAGCCAATCAATTTTTATTTCGATATTCAAAAATGTTTAGTTTACTAAAGGGATAAAAATCATAATTTTTTGTGTAAGCTTAGATATCTGTAACATCAATATTGTATTAATCCTTAAAAGTTTTTATTCAACTGAAAGTCACAGGACTCATGCGGACTAGAATTATACTGCTTAAGCCCATAACTTCATACACTTCGAGTAGTTAAGGATTCCTAAGAGACAGAGCTTTTGAGAGCGCGCCAGAGTATCTTTTAAGTTTTTATTTAAATAATAAATAAGAGGCAAAATTGTTTTACACATACCTAAATTTTCTTAATTTTTTCCCATCATTATATTTTTTTAATCATTGCTGAAACGAGCAAACGAAGTAAGCGAAAGGATTTCACTTACAGCTTTCAAACTAACTTTTTAAAACTATTTTTACAAATATCTGATATTATTGAAATGCCAGTGGTGGCTGCAGCAGCTGAACAGTTCGTAGAGTATTTTTTTATAAGGAGGATAATGAGTTCAACTTGTAAAATTATACAAAATAAAATAATAAAAAATCATTTGCATACCTTTTAAGCACCTGGAATAATATATTAACTTTGGACCGAAGTATGTAAGTATCAGAAGGAGAAGAGACAGACCCATTGAGTTTGTTTAGCGATGTGCGTCTTTTCGTGTGCTTTTATGAAAACTAGTTTTTGAGATATTTCAATGAGACTTGTACATATGTATGCACTGTTACATTTAAGGAATCAATTGTTAATCGAATAACAGTTG